GTGTGGCTGTTTTTTTCCCCAGCCACTCTCGCCTACCTGGAGGACTTCTCTATGGCCTTTTTCTGGGATGGGGTGTGAATGGGCCACATGGCCTTCTTCAGTAAGGGACTTTAGGATCTGGTGCACCCATCACACCCTCTAAGTCTCATATTTACGCCCTGGCAATTTGGGAGTTTTCATATGCCATGTCTATATATCCATTGAACATAAACAATGTAACCCATAAAGATTTTAATTCCTTTAAATAAATACATGATCATTTATTGTAATTCTCTGAGTTAACTTTACTTGTTTCCATACATTATCATCAGCATGCACAATATTAGTTATTTATTTATTTCTGATCTCTACTACATATAACTCAGGCAATAAAAAAGGTGACTGAACTGTTTTTAGATGAGCATGAAGAAAATTATTTGCTGCTGATTTAGTATTGTTGTCTATTTGATATAGAGCTTTGTACCAATTGCACTACAGATTATGTATGACATGTCACCATGCTGAACTGATGACAGCTGTAATTGTATTCAATCACATTCATTATAAACCTGCTGTGCTATCATTTACAGTGACATAAATCTGGAGTAACTCTACTGATTTACTGGAATTACTCTGAACTTGCATCAATGTAACAGTGCAGAAATTGATCCTAAAGATCAGTCTTTCAGAGTGTCAGCATCGTCTGTGAACCACTCAATTGTGGGACAAAAGTTTCTTTGGGATTAGGGGCATGTTCGCTTACGTTTTTCTTTTTAAGAATTACATCAGACTGAACAGCAGATACCTTTTTAAGGTGACTGGCATGAAGCATATTGTTCTTTTCCGTTTTAATTCTGATTTCTGGATTTTCAGTGAGTGGCTCTGACTCTGTCTACAATTAAAAATTAAAGCAACAAATAATTATTAAAAACCATTTAAAACTAATTTAGGTCTCCAGAAGATAGATAAAAACACTAGTTTTTCTGTTTTCAGTCTGGTTCAAATCCAGCCTGAGCTATAAGTAAATTATATCTTCACTAATTTATTATGTTGTCTGTCAGGGGAAACAAAAATGTTAGGGTACTGGAGAATACTAAGAGTAGTGAACTAAAATAATATTGTAGTATCATAAGAAGATTAACCTCCCAATATTATTCCCATAAACATTACTGTATTGTAAACGGACCGGGCAGAGACACTACTCATGGGAAGGTAGGAAGTGTGAAATATCTCATTTGGAATCCTACGTACACAGTCCCATGGAAAACAGGGAGAGGAGTAAGAAGAAGCAGACAGAGATGATAGTGGCAAGGAGAGAAATGGAGAAGAGAGATCAGCTGACTAAAATTGGATATTACATGGACATTACAACTCCACTGAGTAGGTTATGACACTCTCACTATTAAACAGTGGTTGAGAAGAGGAACAAAAGAAAGGAAGGAAGGAATCAGAAGAAGTTGGACAGGAAGTAAGGGTAGGAAGGGGAGAAAATTGAAAGTGAAAAGATACACAGATTGTGCCGATGCTGAAGAAGTCTTCCAGTCAGTGGAAGGAATAAAGAACAGACCTTAGCAATGCATCAAAAAATTTAGTTTACACAAAATTCCAGTGCAGAAAGTTTACTAACCTCTTGATTGGCTTTGGTAACTTCCTTATATGTCTCCTGCCTGTTTTTTCCTTGTTTTCTTTCTATAGTGGCTGATTCCTCAATAAAACATGTTGTGTCAGGTGTTTTTTCTTTTAACACATCCTCCTGTTATATAAAGGAAAACTTTGGTGACTAAACATTACAAATTAGTAGTTGATTGTTACACTATCATCCAGTACATGGTGTTAAAGTAAACCTATATATTACAATCTGTTACCAGTGCAGTGTAAATTGTTTATGTCAGACCTATTAGATAAATTCTGATTTTTTCCATCTTATACAGTATCCAGGATATGCATGGACCAAATTTTTATAAGGTGACAGAAGCTTTTTTAGGGAAGGGAATCTGCAGACAGTACATGGATCTGTCTAGGTGTCTAGTTTTTACATGAAAACAAACAAAAGATACAAAAAGATTGTCCATCAACTAATCACTTCAACCTTCAGTCCATGCCCTCTATCATGGCCCAAGAAAAGAGAAAAAAAGAATAATATATAAATGTGTAATAAAATTAGCCTACTGTTTTTAAACACAGTCCTAAGTCAACAAAGAAGTCAAAGAAATTTAATGGGGTTAAGACTATTGTCTAATGAGCTTCAAATGAATATTTGCTCAGATATCCTCAAGGAAGGTTTTGATAGATACCTAGATACAAAGGAGGGATAACCAGGAGGAATTAATTCTCTTTTAATATATATATAAAGAAGGGTATTTCACTTTCCCTTATTCATGTCAAAATATTTATTTGAAATAACCTAACTCCCTTTGAAATGCCTACATGCAAATTAGGAGGAAAACTAAAAGCATTTCTTGTCAAGAGACAAGGGATAATGAACTGAATCAAATATGCTTTAATTTGGAAAATTATTAACTCACCAATACACAATCACAACAGTGTCCAAATATTATAATTAAAAGGTGTAGACATCTGAACATAAAGCTTCAGAGGGAATATTGAGTTATAGGCAGAGTAGAGGGGAGAGGCAGATATCTGGCCCACTGCCCTAGCTCTGGGAAAAAACCCAAACAAAAGCCAAAGATAAACATGCCAGGGGAACAAGCTGTTAGCATGGGAGGTAAGCAAATTACTGAGATGTAAAATGTATTTGCCAAAAACCACTGTGTTAAAAAGAGCTATCCTAGAAGCTGCTTGTCACTTGGGTCAAGCTAACACTAAGAAACAATATTATACTTTTCTTTACAACCACTCTGTATGTATATCTTTCAAAAGGACAAATGTCAGAACATCAGGAAAGGTATAGTTATGTGATCCATTTGGTTTCCCACTGCCACATAATCTATCACCATTCACAACCTCAATATTGATCCCTACAATTTGTAAAAGTAGATGCAAGGGGTCAAAATTAAAAAGAATTGCTAGGGTTTTAAAATCCCATTTCCATTCAAAGGATCCAATTTAAATTGAGTTGATACATACAATTTTCAGGAGGGAGAAATGCTCTGACAGATCCTCTGAAGCCCATTAAAGGGGGCTCCTATCCTGAGAACTTTAGCCAATCTATTGTTCAGAACTAGTTCTCTCATACATTCCTTAATACTGCCCTGGCAGTGCAAAAAAGTGTTAGTGTACATGAGAATTAGACCCTGCTCCCAGCTCCATGCCTTGGCAGTGCCTACCCAGCCTTCTATGCTTTGTAGAATAGTGGTAGAGATGTAGCCGTGTTAGTCTGGGGTAGCTGAAGCAAAATGCAGGACAATGTAGCACTTTAAAGACTAACAAGATGGTTTATTAGATGATGAGCTTTCGTGGGCCAGACCCACTTCCTCAGTTCTATGCTTTGTGTTCCCTTACTCTTATCCCCTTGACTCTTGTCTCTCCATGTTCCCCCACCTCCACAGCCATGACTGAAGTCTATTGCAGATCAATTAATAATTATGAACATTTTAATGTATCTTTAATCATTCCTCTGTTAACATATGAAAATAACTCTGCATATATGAGGCCTAAGTTGTAGCCACTGGTAGCGGAAAGGATGAGAAGCCAGGGAAACATGAAACAAGATTTAGGATACATGCAAATTTGAACAGAATAGAGCATTTCCGCACTGTAGGAAATTTATAAGCAATCAGAAGTGGAGCTGTCTTCAGCCTGGTACAAAAAGACAAAATATCAGTTTTTCATGCTGTTTCTTTTCCTTAGTGCTTTTGCCCACACTTTATACACCTGTTCTGAAGAATTTCTAGTTCATCCACTCCCTATATAACTCAGTGTGAGGTGATACCCCATCATCAGATATACCCCTTTTTAATGAAGATCGGTTAAGGAAATTACAAAGATTGTCTTCAACAAGGCCAACAAAGCAAAATAAATCTGGAGGCAAACATCTGTTGAGATTTTAAAAAGTTAAGAAATTGCTCAGAAAAGTTACAGGGAGATATTGTAAGCAGCTTAATTTCAAAGTTCTCCAAACTTCCAAGAAAAATTGTATCATGAGATATAATTTAGTATGTGAAATTTTTGATGGTTTAGTATCTTTTGGGGAAAACTCAGCTCACAATAGGAACTAATTTCATTCTTCACCATGGGGTTGCTATTGCAATTTCATAATTCCTGTTTACTTAATATATTGTAACTAAATGGTTATGTCTAAATAAGTATGTTTATCAGACTGTTAGGTTAGAACATACTGTTATTCTGCTTTAACATTTATTTTATGATCTGTTTTCTAAATTGTAATTTCTCCCTTTAACACAATTTGACAGCCATTTTTGGTGGAGGATGGAGAGAAGCCAAAACTGGCTGTTTGACATTCCCATAAATAAGGCACCCAAATCTCATGACATGAAAGGAAGGGGAAACAGGAGAAAAAGTACTTGAACTGTGAATTTCCTCCTCAAAAGGGTGCTTAGGGGCTCTAATTGAAGTCAGAAGGCGAGTTTGAAAGGCCAGGAGGATGGTAGTTATTAGACACAGCATTATGTTTATGCTGTAATGGAAGAATAACTGGTAAAAAAAAAGAGCCCATTTTGCTGTAAAAATCTGTTTCATTAAGAAGTATAGTCTCCCACAAATTGTCTCTCTAGTTTCTTAACACAAAATACTTATAAAAAAACCTGGCATCACATACGCTATTTTAAAATTGTCACTATATGTTCTCCAAATAAAATGAAATTACCACAATCTGTTCTTCAAGTTCTCTTAAAGAGCTGCACAATTCATCAATAGACTCAAGAACTTCCTTGTGTCTTGCTATTGTTCTCTGGATATATTTCTTTCCTTCTTCAGAACCTGTAGATAGAAAAACAGCACAACAATGAAAACAATACAATATTATGTAGACAAATAACTGCATTTTTCTGCAGGCTCAGTTTTATTGCATTAGTTTCACAATATAGGATGAAGTACCTCCTAACAAAGCTTTATGGTTATGGTCCTTTACAATCTGAGCCTTTTGGGTCAGTTCTTCCCTGACTAACACAATATCACTGACCAACTGACAAATAAATTGAAAGGGAAAATGGACCTTATGGGTGCGTCTAGACTGGCAAGATTTTGTGAAAAAGCGTCCGCTTTTGCACAAAAACTTGCCTGCTGTCTACACTGGCCACTTGAATTTGCACAAGAGCACTGACATTCTAATGAAAGAATTCAGTGCCTCTTGCCAAATACTTTGACATTCCCGCTCAGGGATAAGCCCTCTTGTGCAAGAATACTTGCACAAGAGGGCCAGTGTAGACAGGCACCTTAATTTTTTGCGCAAGAAAGCCCGATGGCTAAAATCGCCATCGGAGCTTTCTTGCACAAAAGCGCATCTATACTGGGCATGGATGCTTTTGCGCAAAAGCATCCGTGCCAATCTAGACGCTCTTTTACGGAAATACTTTTAATGGAAAAACTTTTCCATTAAAAGTATTTCTGCAAAATAATGCCAGTCTAGACACAGCCGTCATGTTTCTCTAGGACTAGCACCTCTAAGTCAGCTAAGGAAGACTTAAAAGCAGTTTTTCAGTCAAAAATTACACTGACCTCCTTCTCAAGGGGGAACAAACAGTTAAGATTTCCAATATAAGGCTAATTGGTGTCAAGAAGAGACTGTTCCCCTATTCTATTCTACAATAGTTAGGCTTAAAATGGTGGGCATGGTACATGGACAATGGCTGCTAGTCCCCTCCACACTTAGCTTTCAACACTGAAACAATTGTAAGTTTGGGTTGTATCTAAGTGTATATTAAAATGTAATCTCACTACAGTAAACTTCTGATAATCCGGCACCTTTAGGACCCAGGGGGTGCCAGATAATCAGATATGCCGGACTATTGGAAGGGGGGGCTATGAGGGGTCTGGGATGGGGTGGGGGGATGCCACTCCAGACCCCTCATAGCCCACCCTTCC